TGAAGCCAATTTTTTTTAATCAGGTGAAAACTAAACTCTTCTTCCTGTCCTCCCTTCTTGGAGGTTCAGTAGATGGATCTGTAGTTCAGTAAGAGTTTCAGTCTTCTATAAAATACTTCGGCATAGTATTAGCTGTATGATAGAAGTATGTGACTCAGAAGTTCTTGGGAGTAGCTGTCAGTTTTACTATGGACCATAAAACTAACATTGACTGCTTCCAGTGACACCAGTTTTTTCAGGGAGAGCAGGTTTATTTACAGTGCCTAACATAGTGTAAATTTTAAAAAAGTATATATTTTTATAATGATATTTTAGTACATGTAGTCTGCCTGAACGATTTAATACTTGTTATTTCCAAAGTATATGCCTTTCTTAGGAAGCCAAACTTTTCAATATCTCTAATGCCCTTTTTTCTATTATGCATGTATTAATGGACATTTCACTGGCAAAAGCTGATCAACAGTAAGAATCTTTGTGTCTGCATTGATTGTCCAGACATCCTTCTAGCTTTTAATCTGGGAAGCACTTCACAGACAATGCTCTTTCTCATGTGTACTTCAGTTCAGCTTTCATAGTTCTTTTTCTGGCCAGTGATTAAGACACAACAGGAAAAGGAAGCTTGTCTAAGGATGGCTGATTTTCTTACAGTAGCAGAGAACAGTCTGCTGTTACTCATCTGAAAAACCTGAAAGCAAAATCACTAGAAGTGCACTGCTATTTTTTATAGCTTCGATATATAAGCAAGAGTAATTTTTTCGGTAGAGCCTTGAATTTGAGATCTGTATTACTTATTTGTTGAATCTAGTCTATTAGGAGCAGCCAAAAATATGCTGCTATTACTGTGCAAGCAGCAATGCAGTGTCCAGCAACCTTTGCTTAAACTCTGGTGCTTAAAACTTAACCACACCTCATCAACCAACTTACGGTGTTAAGATTATGTGTAATAATCTGATGTGTGTAAAATTGGAAAAATATGCTTTCTATTTGTAAATTTTATTTGTAAAAATCGTGTTGAAAATTGCATCTAGGGAGTACTTTTTCCTTTGCCACTTTCTGATACAGAAAGCTTCTAATGCCTGGAAGTAATTTCAGCAGTTGACCAAATCATCATCGTGTCAAAGATATCCATGGAGTTCATGAGCTGAAATTAGCTGGCAACAAGAGCCAGTGTCATGGATCAGGATTCCACTGTCTGCAAATCTTGCCAAGTTGCCTGAAGACAAATGAATCCTTGGTTTCTTTTTGAAGTACTGTTTGCATGCAAAACAATTTAATTGATGTATCGTCTTTCCACAGTTTATTTCTACTGGCTTTGGCCGTATTAACACCAGCTTTGTATCAATGCTCCAGTTATTTGGAACTGAATTCAAGAAAGGAAGTTCAACCTATCTGAGATCTTTAAATTCATGGAGTGATTTGTTTTCACTGTGGATAAACTTCTCTGTGCTTATTCAGTATCACTTTTACAAACCTTGGGGCTCTAGGCTGGTTTACCCCTAGACATTCTGAAGTGCACCCCCATTGACGTTACACATGGCTAGTGTAATTTCAGACTTGGAAAGGGAATGCTTTCTTACCACTTTCTACCTAGTTATGTTTAGCACCTTCTCTGTGGACCTGCAGTGACTTCATGGCTAAAGATTTAGGTTGTGGTTTAAAAGAAGTCTTGTCAGCAAAAGCAGTTGGGTGTGGGACTGCATCTAAAGCCTTGAAGGAGAAGCAATTAAATGATCTCACAAAGAGATTTGATAAATTGTTGATGTTGAGATTTCAGTGGTTGCATTTGGAACAACTCCACAAACACTACAATGGAAACGAGATTTTTAATGAAGATGTCAAATGAGATCAGACTTTAATAACTAGACTGAGAGAAGGAAACTTTTCAGTGTGATCACTTTTATTTTTCAGAAATGAGCACAATTTATTTCTGTGAAGCAATGTATTTATTTGTCAGTATGTTTGACAGTGCAGCTGCCATTTTGTTTCTAATAATATAACTACATTAGGACACAGTTTTCCTGTACGTGAAGAGGAAGATGAACATAAGCGCTGAAAGAAGTGCAGTGACCAAAGGAGCCTCAATTGCCTCCTGAAAACCTGAATATTTCTTCGCAAGAGGTCTTTAGTTTTGACCCTCACAGTGCCATGTGGATTGACTTGTGCCTCCAGTCCATTGAGATTGATGTGGCAATTGGCTTATATGTAGAATTGCCTTGTTTTTCATCTCCCTGTTCCATCCTTTCTCCTCCCTCCCCCTTCCTGCTTATGGGTTATCATGCAGCTTGAATGTTGTCTACCCAGCGGAAGGAGAGGTTCCGTTTCTTCTTCTGAGATGGTTTTTCTGAGTGACTTTCAGTTGGTTTTTTTTCTTCAAGCCTTAAATTTGATTAAATAAAATTTAATGTTTTGTATTCCTGGAGTTTGTTTTCTAAGATTTGTTGCTTCCAGTCACTAACATTTCTCTCTAAGGTTGTTTAGACTGGCTACTTTGTGGATAACTACAGAAATGGTAAAGGTCTGTGGTGTTCATGTGTATATCTTGCTGAAACTAATTCTTGATTATTTTTTCATATGGGCTGCTGAGTAACAGATTAACACTAATGCTTTTCTCTCAATTGTTAATGGAAAGTGATGAACAAGTGAAGAGCTGTAGAATGGTGTAGAGAAATTTAAAACTGCTGTTTGTACTTTAACTGTGGATAATGGCAGTCATAGCTCTTGTGATTTGCACAATCTTTGGTTTATCATGTCTGAGCAATGTTCCTGAAATTACTCTTAAGAGTGCAGAAGGGAAGTAACTTTAGGTTTGAAGATGAGGCTTGCAGAAATTGTTTGTGTCTGCTTCTTGGAGCATTTTAATGTTTCTTTAATGCATTAAAACGTGATTTGAATTAGTAAGGTCAGAGAAACATTAACCAATAGATAATGGCTATATTAATGCAATATCTAGAATGCTAAGGCTGGATCATTTCTGAAAATGACTTAACTTTGAATGTGGTTATTTGGGGGGGGGGGGGGGGTGTATATATGCAGAACTTAAAGATCCTGATATATCTCATACTAATGCCTGGTTTAGGCACAACCCCATATCTTAAGAAGTTGAGGTTGTCGGAAACTATTTCTCATTTTGCCATTGGAAATGTGTAGGATGCTCACATCACTGTGTGCTTTAAGCTAGAGAGGAAACTGCATATGACTCAGCTCTTGTTTTTCTTTTTTCCTACCATGTGGTGAAAACCTGCTTGTGTGTTACTCACCAAGTGACTTGTCTGGGGTGGTTTTATGAAATGCTCTTTCTCAGGAGTACTCCTGAAAGTGATACTTTGTAGTGGGCTAAATAGTGTAAAAATGTTTTGCAAGTGGGAAAGCTTTTGCAGGAACAAATTTGTTATGTTTGTTCACAGACCTGAGCCAGTTATACTCAAATTGTCTGAGAACAGGAGGCCTTGTTGACTTTTAAATATTCCCTGCTTATAACAACTTTTTAAAGGTCAGTACTTTCCTGCGTTTTCTCAATAGCTTTTACTACTGGCTAATAAGAGTCGTTGCTCCCTAGCTCTTCAGTATCTACCACTACAGGGTTTTGAATTTGATCTCCTAGGTCTTGGCAATGTGACTCTGGAACATACTTGCAACTGCTTCAAAAAGTTCCCCATAAGAGCAAGTTGTGCTATAGGTCCTGTTCTTACCTTTTTTATCAAGTGACCATTTTTAAATATGAAAAGTTTCTGTAGAAATGTTCAGAGGCATTTATTTTACTACAATTTTTTACTATCTAAAGTTAAACCCAGGTTCTTTTACTGGAGATGATTTAATGAAAGGCCAGCTGCCTCCAAATCTTCACACATGCCCACTTGTAATTTTTAACTAGCTTGAACTTGTCCAAGAACTGTATGGACATTGACTGCAGTTTCTTGTAGCCTTTGCTTCTACTAAGTGTCATTCCAGATTACAATAGCTGCAAATCTGAAATTAGGACAAGACCCTGACCTAGATACTTAGGAATATAGCTTGTGATGCTAGCAGGTAAAAATAAGATGAACTTTAAAACTGGAAATTGAAGAGGGAGTTGTTTTAAAGGAACAGTTTCATGGCATTTTTAATGTGTTCAGTTAACAGCTGGGCTCACAGGTTGATTCACAATGTGCAGAGGTCAAATTGGTGCCAGTTAGCCCTTTGCATTGTTTAAGCTACAGCTCTCATCTAATCTAAAAGCCCATTGTTTCAGGTGCTTGAGTTTTTTTGTAATGAGTTAAAATCCTATAGATATCAGAAAAAGCTACAAGTGATATCCTGATTTGACAAAACCAAGCAGCTTAATAATGTATTACAGAAGTGCTGATTGTCTGATGTTTCCCAAGAGATGTTTTCTAAGACCACTTGCTTGACAGGCCTTATTCCTACTGCTGTGTATTAGTAGCTCAGTGAAGAGCAGCAGCGATGTATCTGTAGGCCAAATAGATGAGCAAGAGTATTTTTTTGTATGTACAGCTTGAAAAGCGGGAGCTGTACCTGGGCTTTTAGTAGTGTTGGTTATGCGGCAGCATGACAAATGCAAGGTAGGGTTGGCAAAGCTGGCATTTTATTGCATTTGCCTCAGCAACAATGCAGGGTTGCTATGGGGAAGAAGGGAGGCTACTGGGGTGTCTCTCCTCTCAAGATCTGTAATGTTGTGACAGCTTCCTTGACCACATTTGCATTGCTATGACTGCAGAGTTGTTCGAGGGTTTCTTTAATCTTGTCCTCTTCTATTTCTTGTCTCAGATCACCTGAATGGGAGATGAAGTGCTGACTTTTAGTGACATGCCATGGCAGCATAGTGGCTCCCAACAATCGTTGTAAGAAAAAAGTTTGGAGTACTTGCTGTTTAAAATGAGCTGCTTTAATTTAAATAAATTTCTCTCAATAGATACCCTTTCAGCTATTGAAAGTATTGAACAAGTTAAGATTTTTCCTCCTGTTTGGCTTCCAAGAACTGATTGAACATAAGAAAAGCATTTTGAAAATGTGAAAAGTAAAAATGTAGTTGTTCTAGCATTTTTTTTGCCTGTGTACTTTTTGTTAGCCTTTCATATTAGTATGACTCAATTCTTTGTGTTAGCTAGTCTGTAAAGTGCTAAGTATATACACCTCTGGAAAAGTCTTGTAGATCACATCTGCTGTGTCAGTACTCTGTGGTAGCACTGAAGGATGCAAATACTTATCCCTGTTGCATTATCTATGTGGCTACAGGGGAGAAAAAGAGTATACTGCAAAATCCAGTTTGTCTGCCAATATAGAGAGGCTCCAGGATTTGGAAGGCAGCTCCCCTGGTGGCGTATCCTTGCCTGAACACAATCATTATTTACAATTTCCATGATTTATGTATTAATATGTGAGAAACTGGCACAAGATCTTTGGACTCCTGTTTTCAAGGTGGTTGTTTTCAGTTAGTGCCACACATCCAGGATGAGTCTGATCTTGTTCGAAGCATTTTAAGTCTACCCTAACCATGGAGTAAGAGAAACTGAAATCATACCCTTCATATGTTTTACTAAAAGTTGCTATGCAAAGGCAGCATAGCTAAAATTGTTGTTTTGTGTGAGCTTCTAGTTTGCTTACAGCATAGGCAGAACAAATGTATGCCTGCCTGCAGAAGGCAATACAGACTATTTCTTTGAACACAAAAATGCTGTGGTACATACAGGACTTGGGACTGCCAGACACTTGAATTTGGACAAAGATGCCTTTATTCCAAGAGTCTAATTTTGCTGTTTCAGTACTTGATTATGCCACTGTCTCACTGGAATAAAGACTTTTTTATTCAACTGATGGTTTAATCAACTTTTCATAAAGAAGCTACTTGACTGGGATTTTTGGTGATCAATGAAGAATGAACCTCTTTAATATCCTTTTCTACTCACTGACTGCAACATCACAAGCAGCACATTTCAGTAACAGGAAATACTTGTGTCTTCATCACAGACAACTTAATTTTAAGTTACCTGAATTAAGAAGACTGCACAGAAGACCCATTGAATTATATTTCACCTCAGGACTTGTATTATCATCTTGTAGAAGTCTGTGTAAGCTTTGAACTAGCTGCGATTCCTTGAAAGATTCCTCAAGGGTTTCTGAAAAATAAGTAAACAAATACCAGAGCTGTTAACTGAAAAGGTAGAGAGTGAACACGCTTGCTTTTTAAAAATAAAATTCCTGACTGGCTTAATTTCAAATTGGCTATACATGGATGTCTTGGGCATCTGTGTTCTGTAGTGGAAAATTTCTGTATCTTCTGTATAGCGTTTCTTCACTGGCCTCATTCTGGAAGGTAGACCCTGTATGCTATAGTTTGTATAAAATAACCTCATAAGAGATTAAAATTTGCAATGATCAGTCCTAGAAATGTTGATTTATGTTAGTTGCCCAATTGGGTTTGAGAGCCTTAATGGTGGACCAAGCAGTAAAATGGCCTAAATTGTAGATTGGAAATAAACTATTATCTAGTAAAAGTCTAGATTTCAAGTAAACTATTTCTTATCAATTTCTTTTGATGTATGTAGATTTCTGTGGTGACTTTATTTTACAATAAAATTGAGACACATTTTAAAATGTGATCAATCATACAGGAAAAATCTGAAAGAAATTATATTCAGTTATACTGTATGTCTGAAAATTAACTCAGTAAAAGTAGTTAGAACCTTTATAGTTTTCTCACATTTCATTTGCAGCTTCTACAAGCCCTTTGTCTATGCTTATGCTTTATTTTCTCCTGCATTCAAATGTCTGTCTCCTGAATATTATTTCCTCCATTTATAGTCTTTCTTGACCATTCAAGTCCATAATTTGTCCTTAATTTTGTCTTAATTTAGTCTTTTTTCATCTTTTTCTCTAGTCTTCATCACCTTTCCTTCTGTTTTTTTGTGTAGGTTTCTAGCATCACACCATGCTACTCAACAGATTGTACCTGTCCACACAACCTGATCATTTGACTCTACCCAAACCAAAAAATCTTCAGGCAATTCCTGTAGCCTGTTGCTTTTGCAATCTTCTGGATGGTTGAACTCCTTTATTTCATGCTGAAGAGCTAAATCTATACAAGAAACATGCTTTTTTTTTACATATTATGTAGAATTAACAGCATGACAATGTTTCTTAATAATTGAGGATCTTGCATAGCTATATTTCTAGGAAAGAAATACCTAAATCGATTGTGGATGCTATTGCCAAGGCATTCAGAGCCTCATTCTGCATGGCAGCATGTTCGCTTGTTGTCATGGAAACCAGATGCTTCACTCCTTGTGCCTCCTGGATGGCTTTGATCACTTCCTGTTAAAGCGAAGGTAAAATATCACAGATGGAAATCTAACTCATGAATAAAGTAGAATGAAGAGAAATGAGATTGCACTCAGCCTCTGAATAGATGGGGAATGATTTACCTGCTGCAATGCAAACTGATTACATTTGAAGACTAGAGATAACATTTCTTTTGGTGCTGATCATACATCTTGCTTAGGGCTGGTCTAATTTACTTGGAACATCAATACTTAGAACTATGTATATGCATATCTATAACATAAAGATACATTTTCTCTCAAGAGTCTTAGTTTGACATTATTCCAATTTTTCATTTCAAGCCTTAAAACGAGCAAAGATTAGTTCTATTGAAGCCTGTGCAGACAGTATCTACTTTCTTATCACTACCTCAAAGTAAAGCATGGTTGGGATACCTGTGTATAATAGCATGATTTACAAAAAAATAAGCCTCTTCTAATATGCCAGCAGATACATATCATACCAGATTGATCTGTTACGAGGTGGATAAGTGAGCTCTCTGGAGCTTTTGGAGGACTGATGTTTGGGACAGGTCTGGGTTACCTTTACCATTTAAATTTGAAATTTGCAACTAATGTTTATGGAAATAGAAGAGCTTTATCTACTTAGCATTTCTCAAGCCTTACTCAAGCAAAGTAAAAGTTGACAAGTGACAGTAAGTAACCATATTGCTCGTTTCTGTGCAGTATCTGTGGAAGCACTGCTTTCCTGCTAGACTTGAGGGCTTCCTACTGGGAACTTGCATGTTTTTAATGATAAAGCTGTATGTGCTGTTTAACATTTAACCCTTAGCTATATTGACAAGCTTTAAAAATATTTGAAAAGGATAAAGTAGAAACTTATCAGACCAATAGCTCTCATACTTGGGATCTGTTGTGACGCAAGATCGATGCTAGCAGCCGATTTGCTTCTCCACAAACGCCGGTGTGGTCGTTGGCGTTGCACCACTGCACAAGTCTGTTCAACAGCGTGGGGTCTTGGCCCAAGATTTCAGCTGCATCAGCTGAAGAGAAAAGCATCATCAGGAGGCATTCAAAACCAGGCTTCTCAGTTTTTCTGTCACAAATGTGAATGTAAAAGTAGCCAGGGCCACAGGCCTGAGCTCAGTATCCTTTAAGAGCTGTAACTAAACCACTGGGCTTTTAAGGGATCTTGGAAATCTTTACCTGAAGAATGCCAGTTGTGTTAGGGCAACTTTTATAGGTAAAGAACAAAGTAAGCTGTTCTGATAGACCTATCTGTTTTAAGAGGCTTCTGAAGCAGGGCTTAAGATGAGCAGCTTCATATCTTTGAAAGCAAATACTTGGTTGCTATACTGAAACCTTCATGAGGATTATCCCTTTCCTGTTTGGTTTCTTGCACTTGCTCTTTGAGCCCTGCACAAATGTAATCATGGGCTCTTCAGAGTGTGTTCTTGCTGTTTCAGTAATAGTTATAATTACTGTCGGTAGCATGTGGGAAGCCAAGTCTTAGTACAGAATTGCAGTGTGACTTGAATTGCATGTCTCAAGTCTGAAGAACGTTGTATTAGGCACCATCAAAACTTCCCCCAGAGTTTGGAGGAGCCTTTTAATTTGCCTTCTCCTGTGTTTCAGGAACCCTGTCTCAAGACTTGCTAGAAGTAGTAGTCTGTGTGGTTGACATTTGGAAAAACATCACTCGACAACTTTTCCTAAGTGGAACGCTAATGATAATGCTGTGGTTTAAGACTTGTTGGCACTAAAGGAGACTACTCCCGAAGCTCTTAGAAGTTCAGCGGTGAAAGGAACTTTACTCATGCTTTCTCAATATTGCATCAGTATAACACATGGTTCCACATGACTCTTACTGCAGTTTAATAATGCATCTTTAAAGTGCTGTGGATTAAGTGACTAAGCAAAGGAAAAATGCAGATATAAGGGTGCTGAGGACTGAAATACATTATTTTAACCAAATATGTTAAGCAGAGGTTCAGCCCTGAGAACATCCTATTAAATACTGCTTCAGTAATTTCAGTTAGTTGAATCTGTTCAATATGTAAGACTTTGAAATTCTAAATTCTAGTTCAACTAGAATTTTCTTTTAAGTGAAGGGTACCAGGAAAAAGATAAGAAAGTACTAATGTGCACAACTTAAGCTGCCTTTTTGTAGGAATTGAGTACCCACCCATTTGGCTTTGAGTACAAAAGGGCTGTTTTGTAAACTGCCAGACCACTTTTTCCCATGTGTTCCAGCTGATGTGAACTGAGAATATAAGTGCAGAGCACTTCTGACTGGGCACAAGATGTAGCAACTGAGAGGCAAGAGTAGTCACAGGACAGATGCTCACTTTTGTTGTAGAATTATTCTTTTTGCAAAAATATACTGTGGTTATAAGATTTAATTGAAATGTAGTTGTTCATAATTCAGCATTTTTATTGTTGACTTCATTTGAGTCATCTTGAGTCCTGTCCCATGCCTGCACCTCATCTCTTGATGCTGGAGAACCAGAGCAGATGATTGGAATGTGCTTTGTGTGCTCTGAAGGAGGAAAGATGTGGTAAATGCCTTCATGGGAAGTGTAAATTCCCGAAGAAGGGCTGTATAGGGTCTGTGAGCTTTTTCTCATCTTTTTCTGGTTTTCCAGTCTTAAAGTAGTTCTAGGCCTGAAAGAAGGTAGCCAGGGAGATCCCTGCTCCTTTGGAAGGAAATTCAAAAAAAGGAAAAAAGCGGGGGAAAGTCTGTATGGTTTTAAGATACTGGGAAGTTTGTCTTTTGGAGCTTTGCTGAAGCAAAGACTTGAGGAAGAACCAACACTAACATCTGGAAGGGATAAGTTCAGCTGATAGGGGAATCATCCTGCTCACTTCTTAACCTGTCCCTTTCTGTGTGGTGCATTTGTTTTGAGATGTTCTGAAGAAAAAGTCAAAGCGTGGACCTGAAGGTCAGTGTCAATAAATCACATGATTACTCTGGATGTTTTGCAGAAACTGTAAGTCAGCCTATACTCTTTCGATTTTGGGGAGGGAGATGAGGAAGGACGGATGGACACTTCCTTTTTTTGGTCTAGTACACTAAAGAACAATTCACAAATCAAAATCCCACAAGGAATGTGGGAGTTTCTAGGCTAGTCAAACATGTCTGTTTAGAGATGAGTTACTTGTTGTACAACCATTTGTGTACTGTCTCCTGTAACAGAAAAGCTTTTGTTTCTAGGTCAGATGTTACATGTTAGTCTGAGGAGATCATGGTAATCCATTTAGTACAGAAAGCTGCAAGAGGTGAGAAGGTGGTGAGTGCAACCAGTCTAAGAGGTTTGCTCAAAGGAGGCATCTTGACCCAGTTTGACAGGGACTTCCTGATGTCTGCCAGCAATAGAGCTCTTGAGATAAAGCCCCATTAGTTATTCTTAACAGGAACAGGAGGACCTTTTAACTTACTAAACGCCAAACTGGAATAAATTGTGTGTATGAACTTTTGGTTGAGCTGAAAGTCCTTTGGCTGTTGAAGGGCACAAATTCTTCTGCTGCTCTGAAGCAAAACAGTGGAAAAACCAGGAGTTGATGTTAACATCTCTTTAGTGTAATGAAGCTGACAGATCTGACTGCAGTTTTCTGTAGTTAGAAAGAACCCTACCTCTTCTAGTCTGTAGGCCACAGTGTGCCCAGTGACTGTCAGACTAATGAAGTTCTATTAGAAAATGCAATTAACTAATTTAGTGTGGACTTCTTAGTAGATGTGTATTCATAAGTGTTTCAGGCTGAGTTAATTAAGGGCAATGTTAGCTCATGGTAAACAGATCAGCCACTAATTAAAGGTGGGAGAATTGTGTGTTCATAGGCAGGAATGGGTAAACATTGAATAATCTTCTACATATTTTTTCTACTCTACACTTTGATATCTGTATTGTTTCAGATTCAGAAGTTGTACCATTTTGTGCCAAATTCCAACTTGATACTAGTCCTGGTAAATACCATTGACTAAAAAAGATAATTTAGTGTTTGATAATTTAGACCTGTATTATTATGATGTCTTAATTTTAAAACCTAAATGGTCTCCCCTGTCACAATTCAGATATAACTTCAAAGAAATGATCTTTTAATGACTTCCCTCAAAGCCTGAGCAGAAGAAGAGGCTAAGTTTCTGTATAGCTTGCAATGTCTATTTCCTACCATGGTGCTATAGAAGTGAAAGCAGCTTTTTACCGGACTGGAATCAGTGCAAAATAATAAGTGCTAGATGTCATGCATATTAATTTGAAAAAGAATGCAAGTAGCTGCCATATCAAAGTGGTGTCTGCAGTGGTGTAAATGAGTGCATCATGGAATGTGGGAGAGTGAGGTTTTTTTCCCCTTCCATATAACTAATGAATTTGTGATTGTACTTGTTATGTACCAGCTGTCAGTTTCTGTTGGAAAATGGTCATATTTTTTTCTGGTTCTGTTTTTGACCTATTTCTTGTTAGTCCTGCATGCCAAGCTGGTCTGTACTGATTAGTGTTCTAGAGCAGCTGCTTCTGTGATATGAAAGAATTAGAATGCTTATTAAAAAAGACAAACCCCACAACGCCTGGTTTTGTATTATACTCTGGTAAGAAGCTAGACAAGCTTAAGGATAAATTAAGATATTGTAGTAGATCTTAATGTAATTCCAATATTGTGCAAGTTTCTCAAAATGCAACTATATGCACAGAGTGAGTATTGTTACCTTTGCATACCCATCTCTGTGTAAAACTGAATGAACTAAAGTAGATAATCCCATATTTCCACATGCAAAGTAAATTGAACATTTGAGATACACCAGCAAGATAATAAACCTGGCAACATGTATAGAGAGACTGTGTGACTGGTAGAAACTCATTTCTCCTGCCTCTCTCCACCCCAGCTCCCTTTAATTCTTTTCTATTCTGCAATTCTACGGATTTGCTTTCCTGTGATTTTGGCACTGTAGATCCTTAGCCTGACTCTTTTCCATCATACTCATGCTTTGCTGGTCTATGTCAGGTGGCAAACATCTTCCTTTTAGGCCTTTGCCATTTCTCACTGACTACTGCAGATTGTTCCATTTGGTTTGTTTCTCATTTACCTCTGAGACTGGGTCAGTGTGGAAGGCTCGCAGCCCCTGGCAATCATCTCTGTTGGAACCTCTCCAGATGGAGTGGAATTAGGTTAGCAGGACACAGCCTGTAGTCTCCTTGCACATCTGTAGTCATGCAGGGGGAAGGGAGGAGGGGAGTGTGTAGCTGAGATCAGTAAACATTAGCAATTCCTTACCTTGACCATCTGCTAACATCCGTAGTGTTCCCAGAAGTTTGAACTGCATGGGAGGCATCTCTGACCTTAGAAGTGCCTGAATCCGCTCTGCCACGCCTTCCTCCAGCATTTGAACCTTGTTAACAACTAGGAAATGGGGAAAAAAGATGTTGATGTGAAGCTCAGTAACTACACAAGCATCTGAAAATACAGATATGACATAACTGTTGTTCTGAATTTTATGCTCTGTTATGCTCTTAGCAGAAGATCCAACTTGTTACAGTGCTCAGAAATGAATTCAGGACTACCTGACTGTTTAGGCTTTGCTTTTGAACTGAAAACTTCCTAGGTATTGCTGTTATGTTTTTGTTACTTCTGATCTCAGCCCTGCCCAGAATGAACTACATAAGAGGATAAACACATTATTGTTGTTTCTCTTCCTTTTTCTAGTTGTAATAGATTATCTGCCCACTCACATGAGTGAGCCTTTCCTATGCTTGCTCATCTTAACTGGATGGCAGAAGTGATTTACACAGCTGTATTTCTTGAGAAAGAATTTGCTTTTTGTGTTTGAGCTCATTGATCCCCTGTTGTTCATGCCTTTGTTTCTGTGCTTTCCTCTCCTAATTCTTGGGTCTTTGCTCCAGTTGTTAGTGCAGTAATCCCTGGTAATAATCAGAAGCTTGTCTGGAAAGAGTCCTAATGCTGCTTAACTGTGCTACCAAAAGCTGCTTCCTCCAGAGCAATTTTTTCCCCATTCTCTGCATGCCTTTTTTTTGAGGGGCAAGGGAATGACAGGACAATGAAATTAGGGGAGATAACTGTTCTATCCCTTCTGCTTTCTACTGAGCAAAGTGAGAGGCAGATGCTATTAAGTAACTTGCTCTTAATGTCCTTGTTTTTCAGTGACACAAACCAACTCCATTCACTAGAGCATAATGAATTTTTCAATTTCTTCTATAAACACCTGTTTTCTTTTAAGATCACTACTTGAATTGAAGACTACCCCTGTACCCATTTGAAAGTGTTGGCCCGTATTTAATTAATTTTTATTTTATGATTTATATGGATTTGCACTTAGGTTTTTTCTTTTCCAGGTAGCAGACTATATTGTTGCAAGTAATAGAGTTTGTGTATTTCTGGAAGTAATGTATTATTGTGAGGGAATATCTTACAGCTTCCATATTCTGATATTTTTATGAATTGATGAGGGACAGCGGAGTGTAGGAATAGCATTTTAAGTGCTATGCATTGCCCCACAGACTTGGAAAGATCTAAAATGGTTTGTAATATACTTGGACAGACAACCAAAATAGACTCAGTATTGATACATTGATGTTTTCATAATTCAGAGTTGAGCCTTTTAAAGTACAGCAGCAAAGAACGTCAAGATCTGGTACTATGTGTAGCAGGCAGTGGTAGAGGGGGTGAAGTTGTAGGTTGCAACCACATTTTTCTGGAGTTTTAGATCCTATAGTTTTTGCAAGATTGGCTGTGTTCATTGCGTTGTTAAGGAGCTCCCAAGGAATGCCTGGGCTTGGCATTGCAAAAAGTGGGCCTTGCTATTCATTGAGGAATGGGTTCTGTTGTGAGTTAGAATGTGGTCTTCTCTGCTTATTGTCAAGGAAAACTACATGAAAATTGCTGTCTTTCAAGTTAGATTAATTGGTATCTTTGCTGCTTGTAATAATTAAATCCTATTTTACATATTGCAGGAGTGAAGTCAATGAGAACTAAGCATGGGACACCCCTAGGCTTATAGAAAAAAAATCCACCTTTTAATTCTAATAGTTACATTTTACCTACTAAATTACTCTCCTAATTTTAGCTGGATGGCATTCTGATTTTAAATGACTCTAAGATTCTGTGATTATCTTCTAATAGCTCTGTGTTAGGTTGTAACTGATGTAAGGTAGCTGGCACACATGGTTGAAATACTGCATACTCTATCAGCACCAAAAAGCAATTTGCATAGGCCTCCATCTGCTGATGTGAATGGTGGTAGAAAATCTCTTCAGAGAAACAAAATATCTGTACAAGTAGTGAGGGGCTTATGGTGTGAAATATGTTTATGAAAATACTGAGTAGACAGACATGGCTGGCTATTATGATCCAGAGAGTATGATAATACTATAAGCCAAACTAAATAAAATATTTGAGATCGTATCAAAAATAAGTTGAAAGAAATAGGTGAAGTTTGGAGGAGAGTTATCTGCAAGAAGAAACGAGAGGATGTCAGGCTTTAAAAAGAAGCAGTGGAAGCAAAGTTACAACCAGTATATCATGGGGCTCTCACTTTTTCAAAGCAATGATTATGTATAAAACTGTTAAACCAAGCATGCTGGCTAGCTTACATAATAAAATTGGCAGATAACTTAAAGTTCTTTTATTTTCAGAAAATAGTGGTGTTGTCATGCTCTTCTCTGGAGTACTGTATAGCAGTGTAACGGATGCATTGCAGGGTGCTGTACTGTTAAGTCTCTAGCAAAACATTTTTGGCCTGAATTGCACGTTCACCTGGAAGTAGTACATTTGAGATGAGAAGCAGCACAATCAAAAGATCACGAGAGTAGAATCACAGAATAGTTTAGGTTGGAAGGGACCTTTAAAGATTTAGTCCAGCCCTCCTGCAATGAGCAGGGACATCTTCAACCAGATCAGGTTGCTCAGAGCACCATCCAACCTGACATTGAATGTTTCTAGGGATGGGGCATCTACCACCTCTCTGGACAACCTGTTCCAGTGTTTCAGCACTCTCATTGTAAAAAACCTTACTCCTTATCTAGTCTAAATCTACCCTCTTTTAGTTTAAAACCCTTACCCCTTGTCCTATCACGACAGGCCCTACTAAAAAGTCTCTCCCTCTCTATCTTATATGCCCCTTTTAAGTATTGTATCAAAGTGTGTTACAAAGGCTGAATTTGCATTGAATATTGTCTTTGTAGAAGAGGAACAGCTTTATGAAATCCCTGCTAGCTGTGATGTGATAGCTCCACCCCATACTCTGTATTTTAAGCTATAAACTGTTCTGCATCTTTGCCTTGAACTGCTGTATGGTGTTAATATGAAACCATTTCAGCAGCTGGCAATGAGATCACACTTTATTATATTTAGACCCTTTATGTAGATGAGAACTCCATATGTATTATTCAAATATGTCTGTCTCTGCAGGGGGAAAAATGGTCAATTGCCCCTCAAAATACAAGGGACTGGAATTTGACTTGGATAGAGCTGCACAGATCTCCATTAAATGACCCATCTTTACAAAGAATCACAGTAAGTCAATTGTCCTCAAACTCTGTACCTGGTATAGCAAGGTTTCGAAGTGCACTGAGTGCAGCATGTTGAACAGAGATGTCCCCACTCTCTACATGTTTCTCCAAAAGATCTAGAAGCTGATGTATGACTCCCAGCTGTACCATTCGTATGCAGTTGCCGTCTGAAGAGGCAAAAAACAAGCAGATGAGAGAGATAAGAAGCACAATGATAGAAATTAATCATGCAAATTGAGAATTCAAGGAATCTTTGCTTTGACTGTTTTCATGTCTTGATAAGATTGAGACTGCAGCTTTCACATTGTTTTTTACAACCTTCAGCTCTCTAGAGGTAAGTGTGTATCAGCCACCTGTGAACTGATGCTGAGACACCCTCTAGTAAAGCATACCTTCAGAGAGCTTTCTAGGGACACTCACTGTCAAATTCAAAACCATATGTTCTGCAGTCAATTTCTTCTCAATATTGCTTTTTTCAACCATATATGTGGTGGAATACTGGTGGCATTTTCCACAGGATAGCTTTAATACTCCAATTTTGCTGTTCGACTGGTTTAAGACAGTATTGTGAGACAAGGGATCTTATCCAGCAATGGTGAGTCTGATCACTAGTTTTGTGCTGCTTTTACTGCTCGTATTCAATCAAATAACTTGTCACTAGCTAATTATCAAAAGAAGCAGGCCTAGGTTTTTGTTACCTGTTTTGAGAAACCCACTTTCTGAAATGAGAAGTTGCACTCATATGAAGCTAGGAAAATGAGTTGACCTAGAGAGTGATCTGTTTAATACTAGGGAA